TTTTCATTTTTAATTCAGTGATTTTAACTTTTAATTTAGTTATTTTAATGCTTTAAAGAGCCATTTTAGATTGTAATGTTCTGCTATCTGTTCTGCAAACTAAAGGTACAGCTGTAATGCAACCAGAGAGAAAGGCTGCATGCTAGAAATTGTAAAAAAAAATAAAATAAAAAAAAATTTAAATAATAGTATGTGAGACAGTTAGCCTGAGAGTTAGCCTGCTTTAGACCAGGTTAGTTTCCCAGCATAAGTTGCCACAGTGACTAATTGATCTAGGCCTATGTTAAATTTGCTTTATGGAACCAAATCATTTGACAATGAGTCAGACTAACTGAAATAAGCCTGGCTTATTTGGTTAACTTGTTTTATGAAACAGGCCTCGAGGCATTAAAAGTGATCATATTTTATCCATTGCATCATATTGCATCGAATCGCATTGTGTTGAATCAAATCGAATCGAAATCAGATCGCACTGCATCGTAACAGGGGTGAATCGTATCGCATCGCATCGGTAGCTGCTTCATATGTATCTTTAATGTATCGTATCGTTGGCTATGCATCGTGATGCGTATCGTATCGGCCTGAGTCATGAGATGCACATCCCTATATATGGTAATATACAGAGGGCGAAGTTATCCAAGTGACAGTCTGTATCATAGGAACAGAGCTCCATTTGAGCTTGTGTCATCATCAGCACTAACTTATCACTGTCTCTCTATTCATGCAACCTGTATGAATCCCTGTCGTATACGACCCCATAAAAATAGGCAATTGACGCACAGCATGTCATTGCCCCTGTAGTATTTGTGAACTGGTTTCCATTTTACATTTAAAGTATACGATTTTTGGCAGTTTTAGTTCTTCTGATAGTTCATGATGACACTCGATAGTGATGATGATACTATTCATGTTTTCAAATCAGTATAAGATTCAGTTTATTCGCTTGTGATATCAACCCAACTAACAGAGAAAAAAAATCTTCTTTTTGGGTAGAGAGGACCATTCATAAAAATGTTGTAGGCCTACCCACGAATTATAGTGACGGTTTGTTCACCTATTTAGAGGTTTCCATGTTGGAGGCTTATTGCATTTCTCAATGAATGGTTACAAATCATCTACATGATTCCGCAGTAGGTTATTTACACAGGTTGGTGTGTTATGTCTCCCTCTACAGGCTGAATGGGTTTTACTAATTTTGTATTTCCGTAGCAGATTCATAATCATGAATGATACAGAATTATATTTGCCTCCAGCATGACGCTCCTCCCATGTCTTTTCTTGATATACAATGCACTATTGTCTAATATTCCTGTATTTGAGAAAAACTGATCAGTGAATATTCAAGCATACTGTTTCAAAATAACTAATTGAATGTGGATGTAGAAACTCTTAGGCAGACTGATTTAGAGCCTGATTACTGATTAAATGCAGATTCACTGGATTCGTTTAAAAGCATCATGTAAGCGCAGTACAAATGCTGTAAAATTAAACTGAAATAAACATCCCACACAGCATGTGAAATAAAGTGTACACACGAGGTTCGATCTCTGCCGATTTATTGGAATGCTTGGATCTGAAGCATGTGGCAGTTGTGCCGCAGTAACAGTGCACGCTTTGCGGGCCATACACATAGTTATAGATGGTTGATCTCTTACACTCGAACACAAAAACATTCACATACACCAGCACCAGTAAGCACTTTGCACAGAGTACATTAATACTAACAGATTCTATTTATATATATACATAAATACACACACACACACACACACACACACTCACTTACTTAACTTTATATATCACTTCTTGCCCACTGGCTCTCCCATACTCACATTTAACTCTTCACATAATACTTTATAGAGCGCATGGACACATACACAAAAACATGGATGCAAGTGAGATAAATATTAACACTGAAAACCTCACGATTGTGCATTAGATGCTTAAGAGGAGGAGCTTTCTCACACCCAAACTCACAAACACAAGGTATGACATGGTTTGATGGTTTTCACTCCAGTCTTCCTCTAATATATCATAGGTGTGTTATTGGGAATATGAAAGGGCAAAAGAGAAAAAGGAGGTTTCAGACGCCTCTGTGCCAAAGATCTTAATATGGGAGCAAGACATACATATTTCAAAGGCATGATTTCTCTTGTGTGAACTGAATCATGTTGCAGTCATCATAACACCACTGTGTGACCGAGTGCATGTATGAAGGCACGGAGAAGATGGCAGAGTAAGTGCTACTATTAAAGGTTGTTCAGACTGTGACAATGGGATTTTGATGAAATTCTGGTCCCACCGCAAAGCAACATGTCCTAAGAAAAACTATCTCTTGTCACAGATATTTCTTATCTAGTCTTCTTTCTTATACTGTTGTCTATTATGCATCTTAGATGCATATACACATTTTCTACTGATCATATAAAATTGGCCACTGTCCTACATCCCCTTTTGTTTTGCTGTTCTTTTTGTATTTTTCTTTGTCTTGCTAAATAAGGTATTTTAGGTAAATTCTGAATAGCAAACAATTCTTAACCTTGCCTCTCCAGTGATTGACCAATGCAGTGCCCCTTCCTAGACCAGTGAGGCCCGCCTCTCCTGAGGCGTTTCCTCCCACATTTGAAGCAGCATCTCATGAAGAGTCGTTGATAGGGTCCTGTATGCACTGGCAGTCAGATGCAGGAAGTCGAACATGTCTCGAGAGGAAATAGTCCCATCTGAGTGGACAAAACTACCTCCCATATCAATAAACTGAACAGGGCCGAGTCGAGGTAGAGATGCGCGAAGTAGATTATTCACTGCTGCATTTTTCTCTCTCAGGGGGTTAGGAAACTCTCCCCTTGGCAACAGGCCCTGAATGACAGGAATTACGACTAATCAGCTTCAAACAAATAACTGAACTGCTCAGAGTTGATACTCTGTTAATTAGAACACCAAGTCTCATATTTTCAATATACAGAAATTGTGATTTAGGTAACTCACCAAAACAATAATTTTGGACTTGGGGAGGTGAGTCATAACTAACTGTGCAATGGCCAGTATTCCTCCTGCAACTTGGTCCGCAGTGTGCTCATGATTATTGGTTCCTACCCATAAAACCACCACCTGTGGAAAAACAAATAAGGATTCAATTCCAGCAGTAAACACACATTTTGCTTTATGGCAAATATTGTTAAAGGTATTAGAACAAATAAAAAAAACGCTTCCTCACCCTGGGTCTGATGTTCTCCAGTTCTCCATTCTGTAGTCTCCACAGCACATTACAGGTTGTGTCTCCACCAATGCCAAAGTTCAGAGCATGGAGAGGTGAGAACAGCTCCCTCCACACCTGAAACCAGCACAAATAAGAACTGTAAACCAAATGTAACTAATGTAAACCAAATATGGACATTTATATGAAAACCTTTTAAATGCTTATTATTAATAATAATCTACAACAGACACAAAACATTATCAGGTGCACATTTAACAAAGCATAAGTAAAAAGAGCCATGCCTTTTTCATTTCAGAAAGGTAAGACTGGCTTTAAGTGTCATAACTGGTATACCATATATTCAATTTATTATATGGATATTTACCAATCAATAAATTAACATGAAATTCAGAAATTCACAGTGCTGCCCTGGACAACAATCATTATTCAAAAATATCTGACCACTTAATGCCATGAAACACCAATCAGAATGAAGTATTGCAAAGAACTGGTAAGCAATGCATAAATACGTGATGCTGTTTTGTTCATAATTGTTTATGCAATTTACGAAATTATATTAAATTTTTATGAGTTAATTTAGACATAATGCACGCAAGTTACTTCCTTGCATTGACAATTTAAATGCTCTGCATTATTTTGTTCATTGCGCCCTCCTGTGGCCTCAACATTAGAAATGAGATATTTGTTTAATTTTTATTTTGTGTTTCATTGTTAAAACAAAAAATATTTGTTGTTTGTCTCAATAAATTGGGTTAATTTAAAAATACAGTGGTTAAATTAAAAAAAACATTTCTATTGCTCTTTGTTTTAAAAAAGGTTATAAAAATGTCAATAATTATCGATACCGAACGATATGAAACATTACATCGTTGATCAATTTTTTTGCTATATCGCCCAGCCCCTTAGCATCATTAAAATGAAATAAAAATCTGAATTAATTTAGCAAAGTTTTGCGGTTTAATATTATTTAAAATTTCATATCTGAATTTCTATGATTGGCTAAAAGTACATGTATAATATTTATAAATACATTATTTATAAAACTACACCAGTTTCATATGATATACTTTAATAAGAATAAAATTGTAATTAATTTGGAATATAAAACATTATGTTTCAGCTTGCAAACCACTAAATGCCAGTTTTTATTAGTTTATGTGTGGAGTGCATTTCAACATCTTGCACATACACTCCTGCTCTACTGTTCTTTTATTTCTGGAAGCTTGGTATGGGAGCACTGTTTGTTTCTCCCTTTGAATTTGTTGCTTCTGTTAGAATTATACTCGTTTGTATTTGGATAAAAGTGTCTTCTTCCTGAATAAATGGAACTGTAATCGAATGTTATGGACACACATGGCTCTCCTTTCATGGACTAACTAATTAACGCGGTAACAATCACCTCATACTGCTGCATAAGCTGCACCATTGAGTCCCCCACAAACAGAACATCAGGCTCTGCATCCTTGCACTCCTGCACAAACCGGTTATGCTGCAAAAAATATAGGACAACTCCAAGCATGTTACACTAATCCATAAGCAGAGCTAGGTGTTATGACATAGGAACAGATTTGCACAACTCTGAGCTGTTACAAGCACAAGTTTATACTGTCTTCCATAATGGGGCACACCTGTGACATCCAGCGTCCGTCTCCCTGCACGTCGATCACAGGCGCAGGTTCAGCAGCAGGATTCTCCTCCGCGCTCATTCTCTACAACACAAACACAGGTGATACAAAACAACACGACTAATGAGCGGACGTGGTGACGTAATGGAAATGAATAGCAGTTGTTGACTAGTTCAGATTGCAGTGAGTTGAAATTTAGTAATTAATCTGTCAATAATATTCACTCTGAGCAAAATATAATTAATTGAAAGGGCAGTTCCGCGCATGCCAAGCACACTTATCAATCCGAGAACATAAACGCCGCACAAAGAGCGCCTATTTTGCATTTAGTGTTGTGAGGATGAGGACCCCGAATGAGGCCAACACACAGCAGAGGTTGTGCAATAAAGATTAACGCTTCATATATGTGCTTTAATGACTGCTACTGACAGGGATGGTCAAGTTATTGGCTGCGGTAAAGTTGGTTTCATATTCAGACATTCGGATTTTTTTTTTCCAGTATCTTCCCAACGGTGGATGAAAAAAATGCTAATATTAATGAATTACTATTATTGACATGTTTGACAATCAGCTACAAATAATGGAATCAAGCCGTCTGTTATATTTGCGCTGAATCTACTGCGAATATCAGTCTATGCGCGCCGGAGAAGTAAGGGACCGTCTAAAAGTTTTTTTTTTTTCACATTTGTTCTCACCAGCATGAGATGGAGATAACTTCAGTCATTCATAAAAATGTTTAAGATAGATTACTTTATGCTGTAATGAATGAAAATAACTTTTTAAAGGGGTCATGAACTGAGAAATCAAAATCCCTTGATCTTGTGACATATAAGAGGCCATTGTACTATAAAAAAAAGTTTCAGAACTCAAACTTTGTTAGTCTAGAAACATCTCATTTTGAAGCCAATCTGCCAAAACAACAGGATGTGGAATATGCCACTTTATGATGTAATAGTGTGGCTATCCGCAGATGATCAGCGCCTGCTTCTACACCACTGCCTGTTTAGCTCCGCCCACCGATTCACACATGTATTGGGTAAATAACAAGAGAAATGCAGGTCTACAAAGAACCCAAACGATATAGACGGATGCGAAGACAACAAGACGCACCTCAGTGCCAAGCTGTGGAAAAACACAGTTGCATTGCCTTCCCTCTGATCCTAACATTAGGAAAGAGTGGACTTTATTTTTAATGAAGTTCTAGAAGTATCAGTAAGAACTTGGTCCTTTGTTTACTTAATTTTACTGTGGATTCATTTACAAACACGGCACAATACGATGTAGGATTTTCAGAAACACTGAAACTAAAAGATGATGCTGTGCGACTATATTGGATCCAACAGTAATGTCGCACCACACAAGTGTGAGTAACTGTTTTTATTACGTGGTCACTATTGCTTTGTCTGCTACTACAGATTGTTTGATATGTACCATATTTTAATTTTTTAACCTAAATCACAGCAGTGTCCATCTGTGAAGGATGTAGGCTGTCAAACCTACATAACTAGTAGCCAATCTTAGCAGTGGGCGTTTACTTACGAGTCTACAATCCACCACGCCTATTCAAAGGACAGAAAATAACCTATTACTTCTCAATTATGATGTGTTTTTTTTAATGTAAAAATCTTGATAACATTATAAGTGGACCTCAGAGAACAGTACAAAACAATAAAAAAGGCAGTTCATTACCCCTTTAAATATTATTTATTTATTTATTTACTGTGAACGTGTTTTTCTTTGACCAATAAAAGTTGATGAAATGACACATTTCAGTACTTTTTGGTGAAAAACTTCAGCGTGGAGTTAAAGATGTTAGGTACATGTCCTCTAAGTTGCACATAAGGGCTGAAATGTTTTTGAGAAATAAATTCAAAAAGTATTAAAACATAAATGCTGGCTCATGAAAAATTGAAAACACCTTCATAGGAATTTCAATGCACTTGTGAACAGCAGAATCATGTGTACTCATTAACACATGCACGTACAGAGACAAATCTTTATAAAACTTAACATTGCCAAGTTCATCTGAGGTGAAATGTTTAGCTGCAGTGTATTTAATAATATGAAAGACAGACCTTACAGATATATGATAATGTTGTAAAGGCCAATCTTTGCCACCCATCAAAAGCTACTGAAATTTGAGGGTGAAAACTGATATACTTAAATTTGCAGCTAGAGTGTGTAAAACATTTTCTTACCATATTTGACAAATCAGTTCAAATATTAATATATATTATTAACACTTTTAATGAAAATAAACAACCTAACTTTAACCAAACGTGAAAACCGGAAAACTACAAGCTTTAATGTATCATATTGTTTATGTTAAAACCTGCCTCATTAAAAAGAGAACAGAACATACCAATCATTTAAATATAGAGAGATAGATAGATAGATATGGACAATTGTCACAGTGACCTAAAAAAACGATTACTCTTATTTGCAATGTAGAATGTAGAAACATGCATTTTCTATCAAGCTGCTTTGAAAGTATATTTATTGTGAAAAGCACTATACGCATGCATAAATAAATAAATAAATAAATGAAATGAAACAATAGTTCAGTTGTGATTTTCGTTTACTCTGTCATGTTTGACAAGGACATACACATTCATACATACATAGAAATTATTATTACTTCATTTATAGATGATTAACGACTTGTTTTTGAAGGTTTCTATATCAAATAAAACAAATGTTTAGGTTAGAAGCCTGGGCGAGTATACGTCAAATATGCCAAATAATTAGACGGTCCCTTAAAGATCATTGACGTCACCACCATCCATAGAGATCAATGCTTTTTTACGCTTTTATAAAACAAAACAGAGTTGTAGCTGATAGTCATACTTGGCCATTATAATTTACTCATACGAACCATTCTGCATACACCGTAAGAAAGTTATTGAGAGCAGAACTCCGAATATGTGAATATGAAACCAACTTGACCGCAGTCAGTATTATTTAGCTGATGGTATAACGAAGAATTAATCAACAACTGGGAAAAAAGGAAACCACAATCCCGGGTGCACACGCACATCACGCCCATCTCTATGCACGCCTCCTTTTGACTAACCTGGCTACAGTGTTTGCAAATCCCGTCTGCAATGAGTGAGCTGCTGGTGTGCAGCAGGGCAGGGCTCCCTCAGTCACGTACAGCAGCACCGCAGTCGACTGACTGTCTGTCCGGGAAAGATGCAGATGAGTGTATCTGCTGCCGCGCACCTCGACTTTGCTTTTTCCAGCTCTCCCTTAGAAAACTATGCAACCTTAACTGACTCAGGCTACACAGCAATAATAATGTTGGATGTTTTAATTATGTGAGTATACGGCGCGAGGCCTTTTCAAGAAATCACAGTAAACGTTTGGGTTATGTAAACCAAATAGCATCCAACCAACCACCTCCCCACTTCCCTGCGCAACCCGCCCTCGCACTTTCTGGCAGCCTCACTTCCGCCGGCAGCCATAGTCACGCACTTCCCATTTAGCGCTGTCCCGCCTCATGAAGGCAAAATATGGGCGAGATCTATGATTGGAATAACCGTTATAATCGAATCAGTATTCCACGAGAAAGAGTGTCCTGCTTATATTTAATACGGCTTGTTTAGAACAGTTCGATATACAAGAACTTAAAGGGGTCATATGATGCTGCTAAAAATAACATTATTTTGTGTATTTGGTGTAATGAAATGTGTTTATGCGGTTTAAGGTTAAAAAACCATGTCTGCATTTGTGATCGGAGAAATGACAAACAACAAGCGCTACTCTACTGCCCAAAAAACTCACTTTAAATATATAAAATATAAAAAGTTTTAAAAACTTGGGCGGCGTTATGCAAATCTTCCCACATCATGATGTAGACATGTGCGGGCGTGTTAGAACGAGCCGTTTTAGGTAGGCTGGTTGACTCTTAACTTTTATAAAGAATATCTCTTTGGATTTGAGACTTTAGTCTTTGCAACTTTACAGATCTTCTTTATGCACCAAGAGCTTGTAACACTCCAAAGAGAAAGGAAAAATTGAAATCGCATCATATGACCCCTTTAATGCTTACCCTATAAAGCAGTATCATATTTGATATGTGGTTTAAGGCCTTTAAATTATGAATATAATTAATAATTTGCTTAAAAACGTGCATAATCTTGTACAATTTACCACATACCTGTCGTCTGATTGATAGTACATACCTTTAGTAGCCTAAGTAAAAAGGACTTATAATAATAAAAAAAGTCCACCTTGAATTTATTGCTGCATCTCAATGTACCTACTTATACTATGCCCTTAAAGTATGTACTCTGTTGGTGAAGAAAAAGTACACACTTTTGAGTGTTTAGTAGAAGAGTAGGCAAGCTTTGGGACATACTCTCACGTCACACAACTGCGTCTTTAACGGACGCTCTGTCGCATATCATTACACGCACCCTGTCACTGTAAACTGGCCTGTCAATCATCTTGTCACAGTTAACATCCTCCACATTGCATTTCATTTAACTTCCTACTGTATTGGAGAGAAAAGAAGTCTGCTATTGATATTGAATTGATCTGCCAGTCGCGGGTCTTTCATGCCGAGAACTCTGCTCATATTTTCTGCGTAATGATGCATTTAAAAGTTAACGACCAAATGGTCGTTTATAAAAGTTCACATTGCTGTTGCAGATGAAATATAACACGGATAACAATAAATATATATATATTTTTTACCAGGATAAATGTTGATTATTAGTAACTCAAATCCCTTTTTGTAAACCTCTACCTAACCGTCGATTGCGCACATCCGCCACGTTTGTAGTTTTTCTAACGCGTTTTATTCGTGTTTGTAGTTCTGAACCGAATCCTTCGGATTGTGGGCAATTTTAGCCATCAGAGTGTGCAAGGATCCACACTTCAAAATTCGACCTGAAATAGTAGACCATCCGGGGACTTTTGCCATACTCTTTTCAACATACTATGCTTTGGGACACACTTATTCTATTCTCACATACTATTTAGGATGGATAGTATGAACATTGAGACGCAGGGCATGTCTTTTTTTAAAATCTATGGTGGCAGAGAGCAACGGGCTGCAAATGAAAAAAAAAACATGCAAATAAAAGAAAAAAACACCTGCAAATGAAGAAAACATCATCAATTTGACAACACACGCGCTGCAAATTCTCACAACACAAACAGGGCTACAGAAACGTATGGAAGCCTGTTTCCGCCATAGTTGAGAAAAAAAAATCGATTCTGTAAGTCATAATAATGAGAAACATGCTGCAAATACTCACAACACAAACAGGGCTACAGAAACGTATGGAAGTCTGTTTCCGCCATAGTTGAGAAAAAAAAATCGATTCTGTAAGTCATAATAATGAGAAACACGCTGCAAATTCTCACAACACAAACAGGGCTACAGAAACGTATGGAAGCCTGTTTCCGCCATAGTTGAGAAAAAAAAATAGATTCTGTAAGTCATAATAATGAGAAACACGCTGCAAATACTCACAACACAAACAGGGCTACAGAAACGTATGGAAGCCTGTTTCCGCCATAGTTGAGAAAAAAAAATCGATTCTGTAAGTCATAATAATGAGAAACACGCTGCAAATACTCACAACACAAACAAAGAAACGGCTTTCCTTAAACTTTCCAATGTGGTCTGTGCATTTGCAGCACGTTTTTGTTTGTTTGTTTTGTATTTGCAGTGCGTTTCTTTGTGTTGTGAGTATTTGCAGCGTGTGTTGTCAAATCGATGAAGATGTTTTCTTAATTTGCAGGGGGTTTTCATTTACAGCGCGTTGAGCTCTCTCGGCCACCGTAGACATCTCATTATTTTTACAAAACACACACACACACACACATTTTAGAAAAATAATGATAAAATGTAAGTATCAACAACAACAAAAAAAGACTACAACTAAGAGCTTTGATAAAACCAAGAAACAGGGCTACAGAAACGTATGGAAGCCTGTTTCCGCCATAGTTGAGAAAAAAAAATCGATTCTGTAAGTCATAATAATGAGAAACACGCTGCAAATACTCACAACACAAACAGGGCTACAGAAACGTATGGAAGCCTGTTTCCGCCATAGTTGAGAAAAAAAAATCGATTCTGTAAGTCATAATAATGAGAAACACGCTGCAAATACTCACAACACAAACAGGGCTACAGAAACGTATGGAAGCCTGTTTCCGCCATAGTTGAGAAAAAAAATCGATTCTGTAAGTCATAATAATGAGAAACACGCTGCAAATACTCACAACACAAACAGGGCTACAGAAACGTATGGAAGCCTGTTTCCGCCATAGTTGAGAAAAAAAATCGATTCTGTAAGTCATAATAATGAGAAACACGCTGCAAATACTCACAACACAAACAAATAAACGGCTTTCCTTAAACTTTCCAATGTGGTCTGTGCATTTGCAGCACGTTTTTGTTTGTTTGTTTTGTATTTGCAGTGCGTTTCTTTGTGTTGTGAGTATTTGCAGCGTGTGTTGTCAAATCGATGAAGATGTTTTCTTAATTTGCAGGGGGTTTTCATTTACAGCGCGTTGAGCTCTCTCGGCCACCGTAGACATCTCATTATTTTTACAAAACACACACACACACACACACATTTTAGAAAAATAATGATAAAATGTAAGTATCAACAACAACAAACAAAGACTACAACTAAGAGCTTTGATAAAACCAAGCATTTGTAAAACTAAGCATTATAATTGTCTGGGTGTTACAAAATCACTAGTGCAATCTCTATGCACGAGAAAAGGACAGATCCATTTGCAATATTCATAACTACGAGATGAAAAGGCTTATGTGCCTGAATAATTTAAGGATAATTGTATTAATTGCCATTATTTGGGACTTGATTAATGACGTCACTTGAACCTGAAGGCTATGGCTGCAATTTTTCATTATTCCACAAGATTGCGCCAGAGCCTACATAAATAAATAAATGCCACACTTGATTTTAGTATTTTTTCTGTGATTGCACATTTAAGTAGAGTTATTTTCGTAATAATCTCGTTTAAGAATATGACCGACAACGGTAACATTTGTCATTGCGAGAAAGACAAATGAAACGAACATCCAAAGAAACCGTGTCAATTATTATTTCGAGTAGAATGGATGTTGTTGCCACACTGCCTACGAGAAACATGCAGGGATATGCTCTGGATACACAAAAGACAGCAGTTAAATTGTGGGAGACTGATGTGCAGGTAGACCTTTGCCCCACTGGTTTTTGTTGACGCCTTTTAAAACTCCTCCCCTTTCACTCACGGAGAAGAGCAAGTGGTCTGAGTGGTTTAGCATGGCCGCAGTGCTCAGGAGTGCCGAAGTTCAACTAATACTTAGAACTTGAGTGTAAATGCAGTAAGCGGCTGGATATATAGTTAATAGTAGGCTGTTACCATTTAAAGGAGCTCTGATAGCTCCTCCAGTATTTTCCCTATGAGTCGAGTCTGGATTTACCTGTTCTCTGCGCTATGTGCGCTTGTCTTGCCAGGTGAGTTTCCTACTTCCTGTATCCACCTTTGATTTCGAAATAAATATAAAATGTTTGATTAACTTATTTTCTATTACATATTTAATTTAATGAGTCATTATTTGTGGTGTTAGGAAGATTCTTTTCCTGCTACGTTTGGCAATTTGAGACCACTGTGGTCCCATTATAGCTACTTTCGGTAGTCTCAGAGTTAAGTAAATATTCAACAAGCTAGTATGGTTTAATCACGACTCATTTTTATTGTTTTTCTGCGGAACATATCAGACGCTTATCAGATTTACACTGTGGTGCCGTTCATAAAATCAGATTATACAAGATTAGATTGATCCTCAGGGGGTTAATGCAGGCATTACAGCAGCTTGAAGTGGATAGCAGGTGTAGTAAGAAAGATTAACGATATAGGTAGATAAAACTAGGTAGAAACAAATTGAATAAATGGAATGTATTTTTAATGAAAATAAAATCTAAAATGAAATACAGACAAATATACTACTCTCAACGTATTAATAAATAGCCTATAGGTAGGCCTACTACTGCAGTGAGTAGAGAGTGACCTGAAACAGATTTAATGGGTGGAATGGCTGCAGTCTCAGTTTAAGCAGAGTTAAACACACTGATCTCAGCAGGACCTGTGAAAGCTTTACCTTAATGCTTAATAATAAGTTCAGGGTATTTAGTGCAGAACACCTCAGTGCAGCAATAGATCCATGTGACTGAATGATGCTGTATGTGCTGCTGATTCATTATTGCCAACATGTATTACTGTAAAAATGGTTCAGATTGTTGTGACATTGTTAGCTGGAAGGACTGGAGATCAGCTAACTGTTTAAAAAGTTAAAAACCTCACAAGATTGCACCGAATATTTTTATACCTATTAAGTTGTGTGTAAGGGTTGGGATTTAACATGATTGTCAAAATATGGCATGTACACTAGACGATGTAATTCATGTAGATATTTAGATGCAGTTTTTGGCATCTGTGTTTTTTACATTTCTACATACAGTGTTAATAAAAGAAAATGGCTTAATGGTTATGTGACTTTCATGTGAGTGGTTTTGCTTCGTAACATCTGATTGAACTGTTCTGATGACTGACTGTAAATTAGATCAGGTCTGATAAGAGCGTTATGACATGAATGTGTCCACGACAAGTATCTATATATCTGTCATGAACTTTGAGATAACATTATGGTTCTCTCTTTCAATGTTTGGTTGAAGGCCACAGAGAATGTACAATTTAGTGCCGAGTTTAGGGTGAGAGAATATAAATGTTGTTGGAATGACCTGTTTGTGTCACTTCTTAGTAACATGTTAATCCATGGTTACCAGGTGTACATCAGGTGGAGGGAATTGAGGTGCTTACGTCCTCAGAGTTGGAGGCAGTTAATGGGACAGATGTACGGCTCAAATGTACATTTAAATCTACCCATCCGCTCTCTGAAGAAAGTGTCTCTGTATCCTGGAGCTTCCGACCACTCGGAAAGACGTCTGAAGAATCGGTGAGACTGAATGGGTGTTGTTGAGTTAATGTATCTGAAAGTCTTTATTTACTACTGGGTGAAATGAGGCTTGGTTCAGGAAATGCACTCTTAAAACACTGTTCAAAAGTCTTCAATACAATGTTCCTTCTGCCCCCTTTCTCTCTCTTATTCCTTTCTTTCACTTTTTTTAAAACCCCAAGTCCAACCTCATTTCAGTGGGTCATAGTCATTCCTTTCTGTTTAACTTTGAACTATTCACTCTCTTTTTTTACTCAGATTTTTCTTTACCACGGACATGCATATCCCCCGCAAGATGGCAAATTTAAGGATCATGCTGTATGGTCTGGTAATGTAATGAAGGGTGACGCATCCATCACGCTGCAGAATGTGCAGTCCAGCTTTAATGGTACCTACAGCTGCCAAGTCCGAAATACGCCCGACTTCCAGGGCTTTGCAGGCGAGATCAGCCTCAGAGTTGTTCAAAAAGGTAAGAGCAGATGCTGTGACACCTGTTTGAAAAATCATTTACTCACCCTTCTATACCCGTATGGCAGCGGAGGTTGAAGGTTGAATGAGCAGGATATTGTGTTCTTTCTTTGATCCCAGCAGCTGAAGGACAGAAGTATCTAATAAACGGGGCTAGAATAGCAGACAGTCTTCTCTGAGAGTGTTATGGTACAGACAGCAAGAGTGTAAGATAAACAATAGAGAGTGATATTCTGGCCATTCTCTGATAAAGGTTCACATCCTGTTATTTGGACAGATTTTCTCACCCTTCATTTCGGTTTAAAGTAGGGGTGTGCACAAATAGTGGAATATTCGATCTGTAATTATTATTCGAAAAATAAAAACCATATTCTAATTTTACTTCGTGTTGCTTTGCTGGCAGAGTGGTAGTAAATGCAAGGAATCCATGATAAATCCGAAGCACGCAAACTAAAAGTCAGTTATAACTAAATGCACTGGGTGGCGCTGTGGTGCGTGTTATCACTCGACTGAGGAAAGAGCTGTCCATCACTGCATTCACGACTGCAGGTAAGCGCAGCTGCAGCCCGAGTGAGCCGAGAAGAGAGCTAATCTGATAGCCAAATGATCTTGAGACATATGATTCCTCGAGGGAGAGTGCTTTAAGAACAGAAAACACACAGCGCTGTAAGAAACTTTGCCTAGCACACCGTTATCTTTGTGTCTCTTGAACGTCTGTGTCGGCGCACATTCTTATTGTTATCAGACTGAAGAGACAACTTTCATGTGGATATTATTGTTTTTCTCAACATTATATATATATATAAACAATATATAGTTTACACACGTTTTCAACTAAAAGAAAACCTTGAGATATAATGTAACATTGTTGTGTATAATGCCTAATCATAGGCTTGTTCAAAAATGGTGACAAAAACTTTATAAAAAAAAAAAAAGTTTTTCTCGTTAAATGTCATTGAAATAAAGGAGTAGCCTATTAGAATATTCGTTTTTTTATTCGCCCAAATATTCGAATACAATATTTTTGAAAAATGTCCATCCTTAGTTTAAAGTACTTTAGCCATACTTATTTTATGCAGTATTTCCAAATCATCAGTATATACAATAAACACTGACAGGACAAAGCAATAAAACAAGATGCCAGTACTGGTAATGAAAGTAATAATAATAGTAATAAGAACATAACGTTTTAAATAAACATAATAGAATAAACATTCAATAAGGCAGTCAAGCATTAAGTATACTTTCGCTTTTCTTCTTATAGTTTCATTCTCTGAAATTGGAATACTGGCAATAGCTGTGGGTGGATCCATTGGTGTCGTTCTCCTGATCCTCATCATTTATATTGTTGTGCGGGTGTTCCGGAGACGGGACGATGACATGGATGTTGAGATGGAGGACCACAAATCAAAGGATCAGGTGCTGTGAGAGAGGATGCCTGACTCGGGGTTTTAGTGCGTCTGTGCTATTAGTTTTCTGTCTGGACTAACCCATTTTAACTACTAGTGATACATAACATATTTTGCCACAGGATTTTCTAATTATATGAAATAACTCTAGATAGTATCTAGATGGCAAATTGATCTGTAGAAGCTTACTTTCTTCTACTGATAATTGTACCAAGATATGTTTTTATCATAACCTATTTTTTTTATTTTTGACTTTTTATCTATGAAAGCTTAAGGTGAGGTAAATTTTTATACATGAAGTGAGATCATCTATCCTTTGTATTCTTAAAGGGGTCATATGACGTTGCTAAAAAGAACATTATTTTGTGTATTTGGTGTAATGAAATGTGTTTATGCAGTTTAAAGTTCAAAAAACACATTATTTTCCACATACTGTACATTATTGTTTCTCCTCTATGCCCGGTGAAAGCTTATCCGGTGATCCACAGCGTGAAGTTGATGTATTCCCTCAGCGACCAGCACAGATCAGCTCCAGGCATGGCGGCGTCAACAATACTACAGCGAGAATTAAAGTTACGCCTTTTTTCTTTGCGTGAACATTTGGGCGCCGTTATGCAAAACTTCCCACATCGTGACGTAGACATGTGGGGGTGTGTTAGAACGAGCCGTTTTAGGTAGGTGTGGTTGACTCTTAACTTTCATAAAGAATATCTCTTTGGATTTGAGACTTTAGTCTTTGCAACTTTACAGATCTTCTTTATGCACCAAGAGCTTGTAACACTTCAAAGAGAAAGGAAAAATTGAAATCGCATCATATGACCCCTTTAAAAAGATATGAGATACCAAGTTTTTATGTGTATCTAAACTGACTTCATCGACTGTTGCTGCCAATAAGTATGATTGAGAATTTTTGTCATTTTCCATTCTGTGTTTGTCTGTTGTACTGCTCTATGGCAGTTTGTACAGTCACATGTGTATATGATCTGCATATATACATATGTGCTGTTGTGCATGTGTATGTCTGCATCTGTGTTTGGGTGCGTTTCTGTACGTTCATTAAATGTGGTTCACAAACCTGTGCAGCAAAAAAAAAACCTATCCTTTTAAAAGAGCAATATAATTTCTAAAACCAGTAACAACTTTTGTAAATATATATA